AGAGTAGATACAATAATGATTTTCAGATTACAATGTTCAACTAATATTTGGCTATATGTAAAGCCCTCATCAATTAAGGAAAAAGGATTATAAAGGAAAAGACTAAGATACCCCTTGCAACTTTAACTAGTAAAGAATACATCATATGGTCAACACCGTCATTCTGACGCCTTTCGCTGGTGTGTTTTGTGTGATTGTGGTGTACCTCCAGTTCTTTTACGGCATTCCAACGAGGGCAGCCTGAAATTTGAGTTCTGTGCTTCAATTAGGTTTTCAAATCGTTTTGACCTCAACCTTCCTCGGCGATTTGGAATTCAAATAGAGTCTGGAAAACAAGGATTCTGCAACAAGGCGACCAAAATTCAAAGTTCCGTGAGAATCGAGCTTAGCTTTGCGACATGTTTGCAGGTCGATAAAACAAAAAAAAAAGAGAGAGAGAGAATCGAGCTTACATAAACGTTGACCGAGAATCGAGCTTACCTCTGCACTCTTGAATTTTTTTCAGATTAGGGCATTGAACAGTGAAAGTGTAATATATTCATATGGTATGTTATTGTAATTAAAAGGATGTTCAGTGGTGTTTGTGTCTTTTTCCAACCCATTTCGAGGGCAAAAAGGTCATATGAAAGTCGGGATAAAAAAATCCCAGGGTAACCCTGGGACAGAAATAATCGGCAAACAAATGATATGTTGTGGTCCCCGCATCCACATGGGCGCCACATCAGTTAAATACAGTCCCTATCCTTGTATGTAAATGTTAGAGAAGACAAGATAAATTTACTTATCATGTCCTGTCAACCGAAATAAACGGGCCCTTAGGTGTTTAGTTTATGCTTCTTAATTTTAATTGTTTGTCAAATTTAATTATTTTTATATAAAATTATTTGTTAATAGTAATAATGACTTTATTTTGTTCTATTTTATTAAAGAGACAATTCTATTAAAAAAAAAATACAATACCTTATTCCGTTGAATATTACATATATGTTTTTCTTTTTTAAGTTTAATGAATTTAATTTAAAAATTTGAAGGAATAAAAACATATTCTATTTTTTAGTCACATACACTCATATATTGTTGTTGTTTCTAGAGTTACGAATTTTTTTAATGTGCATTTTAGGATGTGATAAACCAAAAAATTATTCTACTTTTTATTATCTCTATACAAGTCTTGAATTTTTTATTTATTTATTTAAACTATTATGCACATAACTTATAACATCAAGCCGGTGCATCGCGCAGGTGGTGTACAAGTTATTTCTTTCTCAAGCTACCCGTCAGTTTTCTCCAGTACATCTTACAGAAATACCATGATGTGTGTTCTAGGCACGCAAAAAGTACCTTGCAGCAAGTGCAGCTTTCACATTTAAGTACCAACTCACAATTCGTTCTCTACAGGAAACAAACTTCAGTTTCGCACATTATACTGAGCTGCCTTCAAAATTTAGTGAAATAAAAACTCTGCCATGTAAGGCAAGATTAATTTGCTTTTCTAGACAGTGGAAACAGTGAGAACTTGTACAACAGAACTTTACATAAGTATAAGAATAGGAGACATGAAAAAAACCGAAGAAAAACTTTCTGGGATGAATGTTAATGTGTGGGCTAGTCCTACTTAATGTTCTTCAAGTATTGTTGTCTGTAATAATTTCTCACCATCCTCGTCAATCCCACTCCAACCTGGGGCTCTATACGCAAATAACTTGTTCCTGTCCAAACCATTGGCTCGAAAACCAGTTATTTTAGACGAAACCATGGGCATCGCAAGAACTGATGAAGCATGAATTGATTCTTCTCCTAAACCCAATGATAATGAACAAGCAGCCTGCATCAAACCCAAGTTTTACACATATTACTATATAAATTCATCTCCAATTCAATAAGGCAAACAAAGTAATGCCAAAACCTTAATCTTAACAATCATGTTCGCGGCTTTCATCTGCACCGTATGCATAAGTGATCCCATATTTTTCATTTGTGAATCATCACAAGGCATGACAGATCTGTAAATAATATAGAAGCAATCAAACTTTGTTTTGACTCATTAATATAGAGGGAATACTGGAAATAAGCAGTTGATCTACTCACGACATGCACCACTTTGGGTATAGTACTTAATCACATATATCAGCACAAACCGATGAAAGTTCCCTGTTACCTGTCCACATCATTGTGATGACTAGCAGCTAAAGAACCCAGAGCTGTATCTTTGATTTCTCCTCCTGGCAAAACACCTATTCATTCAGTATTATTCACAAATTGCCACAGCTGAAAAATGAACTGTGATCATTGACAAACCTCTCAATTCATCTGGAGCAAGCAAAGAAATGCCTATGAATACAGAAATCATTCCTAGAATGAACATCGTAGTTCGCAATGCATCAAATACCTGCCAAGGAAAAAGTGTATTAATCATGTTGTTCTAAAAAAAGGTTTAGAAGTGATAATAAAAACCACAACAAAATGCTCAAAAGACGTCCTATTCTATACAATTATCGGCAAATGACTTTTGTGACTAGAATGGAACTAAAACTACATGTGTTGCTGGAAGTAACTTATATCTAATTAATACGGCCATAGTAACATGAGCCATATGGCAAGGTACCTAGTGACCTCTGGACATTTAACAGAACAAAAGGGACCACAAGCATTCCATTTATGAAACTATCTAAGGTGACGATTGCATATAGAATTTAAAAAAATAAAAATAAATAAATTGTCTCGTCCGAACAATAGAGATGGAAAAGTTAGTTTTAGGAAAAGTGAAATATATTTCAGATTGTTAATAGTATATAAGATAAAAACGTAGTGATTACAGTTAATGTGAAATGAAGTATTAATATCAATTGTTGACTTTTATTTTTAAATTATATTGATGTATGTGAGGGTGTTCTTTTTTTTTTTGGGAAAATGAATAATAGTGATTGATTTTTATCTTTAAATCATATTGATGAGATTGGAGAGACAAAAATGAGATGGAATAAATAACATATTTTCTGATTTTTTCTACCCGCTCGCAATTTCAATGATAAATCTTGTCCAGCCAAACAAAAATGAAGTTATTCCATATGTAATCGCCACCTTAATGTATTATTAAGAATATTTGTTAGGTCTTATGCTGTATCACCTGTTCCACCTTGAAACTTGTCAGAGTTAAGTTCAGATAACGAGACCTAACGTTATGCACCTTTGATGACCTTGTAGAGATGTACTGCTGTTGACAGATGACAACACAACAAACCCTATACAATTCCACAAGGCTGACACAAAATAGAAAAAAACTGAGTTGAGCTGGATAGTTACCTGATATTCCTGGAAATATACAAATCCTGTACAAATGGAGAAAAATGTCCAAACAATCTGAAACATGGGAACAATAAGTATTGCGTCAAACAGTGACAATCCTTCATTAAGCCTTGCCATCTGCAAATTCATGGCAATACCAACCATTAAACATAAATCTTCATATCAACAACATAATACTGGATTGAAGAAATAAAAATGTTCAATTAATTACCCAAAATCCAGCTGTACTGAAAAACAATATGACGATGGAGTATGTGAACCAACTATGCAATTGATAATCACTTGAAAACGACAATCTTAAGAGATTTGATCTGCAAAAGTTCAAGGAATTAGAAACTGTCATGATCTAGGTTTGAGGAAAGAAAAATCAGAGTCCTAGGAAATACTGAATTACAACTCACAGAGACTTTGCAAACAACACTGAACATGACCCAACAGCACCAGAAACAATGGCGTATGAAAGTGGAAGAAGCATGTGCCAATAGTGCTTCACGTCATTCCCTGGAAAAATTAGCAGCAGTTCTCCTTTTCTATATTTTCCGAAAATCAAAATCGGCCAATGAAACAATGTGTTAGCCATCAACGTTCAAACACTATGTAATACGATAGATGCTTTAGTTCTAAGATTTTGTCACCTGTACAATGAATGATTCAAGATCACAACTACAACCAAAATCAGACAGTAAGCCAGGAAAGTAGTGTTGCCATACTTCTCTGCCAACTGCTCAGTTGTGTAAACTGTTAAAAGAGAAAACACAATTAAAATGAGTTCCAACTAACGAAAACATCATGAAGCATAACTAATAACTGATAAAGAATATTGATGCCAAGATCTTCAAGCATGAGCCACAGAGCTAAGATGGCGCTCACATGAAAAGATTGATTGTGATACATTATTCACATTGAACTAGAAATCTCTGCAGCATTTCAGGTTATTATATTGAATTGTGTATATTGAATTTTTATGTCAAATGTCATGGTGATAGAGCAATCGAATTAAGATGCTCTTAAACTGTAGTGACAACCTCCAAAATAAGGATTTCTATACCAACTTTATACCATCTGGTTATTCTCCAAAGTTATGCCCTTGAATTATATATCAGAGCAAGTGTTAAAAAATGGTTAAAAAATATGGCAATATAAGATGAGATACCTGGTGACTGATGGTTCCCAAAAGCAACCAGGAAGACATTTCCAAGAACAATAAAGGCTGTAGCAACAAGTACTCTGCAAAAAAATTTCTATGCATAATCAGATTACGCATGTTGAGAAATGCAAATACATTTAACCGGGATATACATAAAGGAACTGCTTGGTTATGGTTTATTATACTCGAGCTTATGAATTTATGGTTAAACATACTTGACTGTCACAGTTTTGTTCAGCACAAAGAAGGCAAATGCAATGTTTGACACAAACTGGACAGATCCCAGAGCTGCAAGGAGGGACTGCAGATACAACCAAGAGCAGAAATACAAAACCAGAAACATCAATGGAAGGGAAGAAGATGATACCATAGATTAAAAAGAAGTGTTCCTCAAGATAACAATCAAAATTCCTATAAATAACAGTACTTAAGAAAAATTATTGAAGTACATATATACAAGCATATATGATCTCTTTAAATAGTTCATCCCAAATATTTCTTTTGTTCTCACCTGAGCAGCATAGCCAAAGGAAATAAAATTAAGACAATTTCCAAAAACAAAAAAGAGAATACCTGCATGTATTAACAGTACGAACAATTACTTGACATTGTTAGTTTAAAGAAAAATAGAGTTGACGATTTATTCAGTACAAGAAAAATCAAATTAATCTACCAATTCTCCACGTGTGGAAGTATATGATAGGCTTCATTAGAGCTTTTCCATTTGTCCCATCGCTGTCAGCCATAGATTGTTTCTCTCTCTGAAAAATTATAAGATATAGCTCGTTACAAAAGAGAAGTTGAGCATATCACGAAAAGTTAGCGGGTTTCTTTTCTTCTACATATTTTGAGCACTCATTTTTCAAATGATAAAGGGACTAGTGAAAGTCTCAATTTACAAATGGAAGCACAACACAAAACAAAACATTAGATATTAACACCACAAAAGAATGAGAAAACCTTCTGCAACAATAAATTTCTTAAACACACTTAATGATGCATTGAATGGAACCATAAGCCACGCAATTTATGAGCTTCATTTCGGTTGCATGCACTAGCCGTGATCAAGGGCTCAGGCCTTGGATGCACTAATAATAAATATTAAATAAATAAAAGATACTCGAACTGCATACATCAAAATAACATTTACCCAGGCAACAACGATCAATATAGAATAAGGTAACGCAAATCTCTTGGTTGTCAGAAAGAAGGAAACAGAATACATAGCATACAAACCAAGACATGATTAGCTGGCCCTTTGGATTATTGAAGCCATCAACAATTGTGTGGACGTTATAGACAAATGTTACAACTTCATCTAGAGGAGTAATAACTGCTATATTTAAGTGATTATGTAATCCAACGCTAGTTGATATAACTCCAGCTTTTTACGTCGCATATGTTGCAGACACCACTGTGGGCAGTTGATGCATGCATGTGAGGTCCTTGGCACACACCATAGGCATCAGCAACAGTCATGAGACTGTGAGAGTTGTATGTCACCCATGTTTTTTCTTTATTCGTGTAAGGATCTAAATAATACCATATACATTTCAAAACACGACATAACTATAGCCAGTGGATCCAGACTTTTGTCCAGCAGGTGCAGATTTCAACTAAGTTTTCTATTGAAGCAAGAAAGAAAAAATGAAGTCAATATAAACTTAGCTATCATAATAATATTTACAGTTATAATTCTACTCTCCCAGACGACATAGATGGATAATATTTTAAGGTAGCTTCATATATAGTGTATATACTGTTGGGGAATTGCATTCGATGAAATTGTAAGAGCTTAAATTAAGGTAAATACAATATCAATATGAATCAGCTTTAACAATGCCTTTAGAAAATAACAATCACATTCGGAAGAGTTTGATCATCTTGCCATTTCAATCCTTCTCTTTTCTAACTTATCCTCCACCGGTCTATGCTTGTTCTTAACTTCATCCCTTATCTATATATATAAATCAGGATTAGGCCCTTGGCCCTTGTGTAAGTCTGGCAGTGGTTATAACCAGCGGACAAGGGAAAAAAACAGCGTAACTTAAGATAACTCATTCACTGATGCACCTTTTTCAAAGAAATGCAATAGAACCTAAAGTCACATCTGAGGAAGCAACAAAAGTGAGACAGTTGGGAGACTAACGTACCTCATCATGACCCAGTTTAAGAAGATTAGTGCCAAAGTTAATGGCGACGCTGCCAAAAAGGTTGATGAATGCTCCAATAACCCACTCTCCCATAGAAAATGCTTTGCTGAAGGCGGTTAGTTCTATTAAATATTGTAGGAAAAATAATGGGGCTATTCAACAACATCCATCATTACTTCCAAGAAGCTTGGTCATCAAAATCCAGCTCCCAAGAGAAGGAACTCCAGGTGTTTGTTGATATATGTAATGTAACTGCTTTAAAGAAACAAACAATAAAATTTTAGGAAACAAAAGAGGGCACTTTATGCTGATCTCTAAATTGCATTGCAATTCGGGAAAGGCGAGGCACGGATTAAACAAAGTTGAGGTATTAATTATGCAAAGAAAAAAAAAATTGTAAGTGAGTATCAATGACAATGGAGGAGACAGCAGCAGCAGCAACAAGGAGATGGATTCGCTTCTTCTTCAGATACAACTCTCGGAATAGCATTGTGTAAAAACGAAATGGGAATAACATCTAAGGTAAGATAATTTAATTAGAGACAAGTTGTAGCAAAACCTTACCCAAGAATTTTTAAAATGGAGCAGAGAGAGATTGGTTGCCAGAGAGAGATTTGTTGAGCTGCAACTGATCTGAATCTAATGGGAACTCGTTTTATTTTGGACACAAGAAAATAGCAAGGGAAGAGAAGAGAAGAAGCGTGGTTTGTTGCTGTTGGTTTCAATTGGGGTTATACGTAATTACAACGTGAACGCGACGCTTTATCGACCATCCCCATTTTCGCATCTTTGTGCCCGTCCCCAAGCCCAAGCCCAAGCCCAACTGTCTTCTTTTTTCTTTTCTTTTCTTTTTTTTCCTTTTTATTTGCATTGCTCTATGTCTTATTGGTCAATTTAATAGAAAGAAACAATATATATATTTGTACAACAAAGGAAGAGAAAAAATTAATAATAATACATGTACACACCATGCCGACGGGTTGAATCCTCATCAAAATAGATAGATAGATTAAAAAACACACACACACACACACATCTAAGCTGTTGTAATATAGATTGACAATATGTAAAATCTATG